GTCTATTAAAAAACAAAACGAAAAAACTGAAAGAAATGTCTGCCTCAATGCTGAAAAATTCATAGTGAAGTATGAAACAGGATTATGAAACAACTAATTTCCTTTTTGATTTTAGTTAGAAAAGGATTCTAACTTTTCTAATTGAAGGAGTGGAACATTTCAGGTATTCACAGGCTCATGGATATTACAGTAGCATGTTGGAGAAAATCCAGTGTGATCGGCTTTATAAAGGGGCTCGGTAGGTATGAAAATACTGCAAATACATGTTTGGTTTGTGTTATTAGTTTGTTCGTTGTTGCTAAAGTGTATATTTGACACAGCTAACTAAAAAAATGCAATCTCTGTTTCTTCTGCTTAAAGATACTGAAAATTTAGTAACTGTGTTTGGCTGAAGTTGTATCCAGTGTAGCACAGACTCTTGGCTTGTGCATTATGATCGTTCTGTTGTTTTGCTTCTTCTCAGAGCTTTAAGAAAAATACCTGTAGTGTAAATCATAGCAGAGACTCTCTTATGATAATTTAATCCCCATTATCAGTGACTCTGTCTCTGTGTGTGTGTGTGTGTGTGTGTGTGTGTGTGTTAAAAGTACTGTGGGTTTTTACAACGATTTCTCTGATCAGGGAAATGATCAATACAGGAAAAAAATTAGCAGTGATTTTCATTTAGTAATCCTTTCTGCGGCAATAGTATATGGTTGTGGTGACAACCATATGTGATATTGCATTGCTACTTCCATATTTACTCCTTGTTTTTAACTTTCTAAAAATATGTAACATTGAGAAAATCTTATGGCTATAGCCTGAACTAAATGAAATATTCTGTAGGAAAAGAGTATCATTTGAAATACAGCTTATTGCAGATACAGTAGAAAAATAGGGAAACATATCTTGGGAACAAGAAAATGGGTTGTTTGAGAAAAGTAGCCCTCAGACAGAATTTCACCCCAAAACGGTACAGACATCTGATAGATGATCAAGCATAGTTAATCTTTTTTACAGATTTTCCTAGGACAGGAGCTTTAAATATGTACACAACTTTCTAAAATTGACCTACAGATTCCGTGCTATTGCAGGGCCCTCAGGCATCAGGGTTACCATGGTCTCCTGCATGTGCATCACAATTCATTCTCCTTGGGAATGAGCTACTTTTTTCTAGGTGAAGGGCTTAGTTTAATGCAGTACTTGTGTGGTGACCAGTATCCTACAATATGTTACGAAATTCAAGCTAAATGTTTCAGTGGTCCATTCTGGTACTTCTCTTTGTAGAATGTTATTATTTTGAAATCAGATAGTAAAAACTTAATTTGTCAATGAAATCAGTATTTAGAATTGAGTATAACCCCTTCCTCCCATCCCACCCCCATCAGATATCTTCTGCATAAACCCATACAAACTGTATGTGGTGATTTCTCAGATAAAAATTATGCCTTTTATTTAATGGGGCAGTGTTTCACTGGTATAGATGGCAAAAATGGACACATCTTTTTTATTGCTATTTTTAAGGCCCACATTATAATGTGTCAACATAAAGGGACCAATCATGGATGACTTTAATGCAGCTGTTTCTTAAGTTTTGAGCCTGTGATTTCCACTTCTATGTCTCAGAGGTAACTTTTTTTTTATGAGCTTGTAGGGCTCTCGGTCTAGGAAAAAGAACTATATACTGTTAAAGCTCATACATCGTCGGTATAAATGTCAGTGATAGTCTAGTCACTGGGCCAGATTTTTGCAATGCAAATATCAAGCATATGCAAATGCTTGAGATAATGGAACTGAAAAGATGCATTAGAAAGCCAAACCTGTATATAATAGTTCATGATCAACTCAGAACCGTCATGCTGTTGGCAGTGTTAACTTCCACACTGAAGATGCTTATATGGAGTTAGCAGCTACAAAATCATCTTTTAAAAATTTGAACTAAATCAGTGTCATATGTCAGTCATTTCTATAACTGCTGTAATTGCTGTAGCGATGATAGGTGTTAACCCCCAGGGTATCCTTTTACTTTCCTTTGGGGGAAAGGCTGTACAGTCCTGTATTTCAGAGAAGAGCTAGAACAAAAATTTTTGCTGCACTGACAAATCTCACAAATAATTGCGTTTCTCTATTACTGTGTGCAAATAATTGATTTTTCTGTTAGATGTCTGAAAAAAAAAATTAGATCAGCCTGTATCACAAACCTAACAGTATCATTGTTAAAAGGCTTCCTATTAACAATGACTATGTGGATTTAAATTCCCGTCTCAAAATCCTGGCTGAATGCCACGATGATTGAAGATAAGGGTGGCAGCTCCCAGGTAGAGTGATGAGGTTTTCTTAAACTTAATTTTGTAAGGATGTGAGGCGTGCATGATCTCACACACTGCCTGCCTTCCATCCCGCCTGCGTGTCCCTTGGTAGTAAATTTTGAACTTAGTAGCCAATTTAAACCAAAATTGCCTGAGGAACAGAAGGCAAGTTTGCATTTGATTAGATTCCTGTGGATTCCTTCCAGAGGGAGCCTGGGATGGTTGCGCTGGCCGGAGCGAGGCGGTGGCCCAGCCCGGGTGTGTTTAGCTTGGCAGAGGCCGGCTGGCGGGCAGCCTGCCTGCCCAGCCCCGGGCGCAGAGCTGGGAGCGGCGGGGGGGAGCTTGGGGTGATGACGGGGGGGAGGGCAGGGCTTTTATTGCACAAAGGACACAAATCCTTAAGAAAATGTGTTTCACTGCTCACAAAAAAACATTTTTCCTGACTGAGCACTTGGCGATCAAACTGATTTCATGGGTAGTTGTGAGCCAGTCAAAACCACGCATTTGGCAAATGTATTAGTGACTGTAAAAATATTGTCTGACTCCTTCCTAAAGCTATTTGTGGAGAAATTTCCATTACCTAGTATATTTGATAGTCCATATAAATTTGCGTCTGATCCTTTGCATCCCACTGTCTTCATGCTTAAACTTCAGGAGAGCCTAGGTGATGACAGGAGACCAGTAGCGCTTATACTCTCCTCTGGCGGCTCTTTTTTCATTACTTTGAAGTAGATTATTATTCAGAAAAACGGTGTATTTTTAGAAACAGTTTTGTGTAATATAAATGTAAAACTGTTCAATACACTTGGTTTTATGCAAAGACATAATGCCAGCAAAACTCCGTGATTATGCTTTTGCCCTCAAAAATCAAGTGAAACTTTGCAGGAAACAAATCCAGCAGGAAGCATCTATTGGAGTGGAAGAAGTGGTGCTGCGGTGCTAAAGAGTGATGGCATACCTTATCAATCAGGAGAGTTATTTTCAAAGTAAAGTATCGATGTGTTACACTTGCAGAATAATAGCTACATGAACAAAAGCATTTCTATCTTGCATTATAGTCATACAGTGGATGTCTAAACTTTGATTTTTCTAAAGGAAAATATGTTCTCTCTTCTCCAATGCATCTTTTTTATTTTCCAATGCATGAATTTGGGGTCTGATTCTGCCACATCGTGAATACTCTCAAACTATAATGTAGTCTTTGGGATTTAGTTTTTTCAGTTTTTTACAGCAGTGAAGTGTTAAAGTATTCAGGAAAGATCTAAAATCTCATTTATTCTCAAAACAATCTCATGTAATTAATAGTTGACAGTTACTTTCAGTAGTAGTTGCAATTCTGTTCCTCAAAAGGAAAAGCTAAAGGCATTAGATGTGTGGCATCCATCATTGTAGTTCATTCTTCTTTCTTTCTTTCTTTGCGACATGGATGCAACATACAATGTAGCACTCTGCAATGCAATGCTGTGGGGAAATGCTATAATGATATCAGTTCACAGTATTTTCCACAGTTTGTATTGCATTAAAGCACCTCTGTCCCAATCACTGGCAGTGCTCACAAGTGTTACGACACTTACATTGCATTCAGAGTGGCTAATGGCTGGTCTTCCCAGTGTTACTTAATTTGCTACTTTTAAAGTCTCTGGCAAAGCTAACAGAGGGTGCGACCAGTACCTGCCTGAAGACCAGACATAGCTTTTATAGCCAATAAGAGCTAAGCCTGAGGATTTTGTTTTGGAAATTTTATGCGTAGAATGGTAGTATTTGAATTAATGAACTTTTGTTTCATCGTACTTCAATTTATTTTTTCTTCAGTTTCCCAGAAAAACAGTAAGTAAAGCTAAGCCTAGTACATACTATCTTGATATTGGTTATGGGGAATTCACAGAATCATGGGATAATTTAGATTGGAAGGGATCTCTGGAGGATGATTAGTCCAACCTCTGCTCACCAACTAGAGAAGGTTCCTCAGGGCCCTGTCCAATCAAGTTTCGAGTATCTCCAAGAGTGGAATTTCTTCTCTATCTGTGGACAACCTGTACCAGTGTTTGATTGCCCCCTCACAGTGGAAATTTTTCCATATATGGATATATGGAAATTCCACTATATGGAATTCCAACTAGTGTCTGTTGCCTCTCGTACTGTCACCGTGCTCAAACAAGAGTCCGGCTCCATCTTTGCTACACCCCATTAGGTAGCTCAAGACTGCAATAAGGTCTCCCCTTAGCCTTGTCTTCTTAAGGTTGAACCAGTCCAGCACTCAGCCTGTACTCATGTAGCAAGCACGTAAGCCCCTGACCATCTTCGTGGTTCTCCCTTGGCCTTGCTCCAGAATAGCAATGTCATTCTTGTATGGGGGAGCCCAAAACTGGACACAGTACTCCAGATGTGATCTCACAAGTGCCCGATGGGACTGTAGGGTTTGGTACCTTCAGAAAAACTAATACATCATGAACATTTTTTGACCATGGAAAACATTTTGTGTCTGTTTTCATGTAAGATTTATACTGGTGAAATGTCATTGTTTTTAAAGGAGTCATTCTTGACTGACCTCAGTATAAATGAGAGGAAAATCAGTCCCTTTACAACTCACCTTAGTCAAAAGATCAGACTCCTGACTTTTGCAAGGATAGGTCAGTTTGAATAGCAATAAAGAATAAACTTGTTATTTGACAACTGAGTGACAGATCTGGCCTACAAGATAAGGAATAAGAAATGAGGACGTTATTCAAACAGTTAGGTGTCAGCAAGTCTTACCATGTGAAAAAAGAGGATGAGTATGCACTGCATAGTAAACACTACTCAGTTTTAATAGGTAAGATTTCATCTTTGTTTTCTTCTTCCAGTCTAGGTTATGTAAATTTTACCTATAATTATACCATGGAAATTGTATTTATGTATTGTGTCTTTCTTTGGTTATCAACTAGTCTCCAATTTTGCTTTGACAGTATAATGGGCCACTGGAAAAGTTAAGACACGTTGAATTACCCACAAGTAAATGTGTCTTTTCTACATTTCAGCTTCTCCAGTTGGTAACGGATATATCAAGCCACCCGTCCCACCTGTTTCTGGTACACAGAGAGAAAAAGGACCTCCAGCCATGTTGCCTATCAATATTGACCCAGACAGTAAACCAGGCGAATATGTCCTGAAGAGCTTGTTTGTTAACTTTACTACTCAGGCTGAACGCAAGATTCGCATCATCATGGCAGAACCTCTTGTGAGTAGAAACAAACTCTAAGTTTATATGTACTTTACTTTGAATTTATTTTTAAATCAGGCTTTCTTGCCATGCAATGCAGAATATTTTGCTTGTAATCTGTGTTGGAGTTTGATAGTGTTTCCCGAACTGTAAGATATGCTACCATGTCAATTAGAAGGTGTGGGAGAGGAGAGAGATATGCAAGATATGCCAAAGGAGTGACATGAAAAGGAATGAATATTTTATTTCTGTTTGCAATATGGGCACGTTAATGTGATTGAGAAGCAGAAGGGGTGTCAGCCAGCATAGATTTCACAGCTGGGAGAGTGGTCACTTGAGTCCAAATGGATTAGAAAATGCTGAAATATGATAAAAACAGTATTTCTGAGCATTACCAGTTTTCAGCTAAAACATGAAAATAAATAGTCCTGCTGGTTCTTATTTTAGTTCTGACAGTAGTAGATTTCACAGTCTAACAAAGTGCTATAGCACCTATTTTCCAGACATGAAAAAGCATGCAGCATTTGAAAAAGGAGCTACATTATAAGGTCTTGCACAGTCAGTGAGAGAGCCATCGTTATTTGTATTTTAGGCAAATTTAACATATAAGTATGTCTGTTGCAAACTGTCTTATGTAACTGAACTTTTGGGAGTCTGCTATTTTAAATTGAGACTACATTTTATATACATTCTTGTTATTTTGGTTAGGGAAGAATGGTTCTGTAACCTATATTTTGGTTCTGACAAGATAAAAATAAAAAAATAAAAATAACCAGGAACCTGTATTTCTGAGCTGTAAGGGAATTTTCATAAAATGTTATAACATTTTTGTTATAAAGCAAATATAGAATACTTAGTTCAGTTCCCCATTTTCAGGTCTGGATATTCTGAACAGTAAAATTAAGATTGTCTTGATTCTGATGGCATCTGTTTAGTTTTATGTCTTGATTTAGATTCAGAAACATTTGATGCTGGGAAAGTTTTTCCAGACTTTCCTCTGAAACATTAGGTAGATGCAAGATGACAGAAATATCTTACATAATTTGGAAATAACACAAAAAAAAGCTAACAGGAAGGAATATTTTGACAAAGATCCAGTTTCTTCTTCTTTCCTGAGTCCCCTCCAAATTGCAAAAAGTAGAATAAACTGACAGTCATAGTGTAGGTCCTTTAAAGAAAAAAATGCCAGCAGCTATTTATTACCATCCAGTCTTCATGTGACGCACAGTGAACGTCTTTAAAATTTTAAGACAAATGTGTTGTAAAATTACTTGACAAGATCAGGGAAACAACAAAAAGACCAGGACTGAGAACATAATTTCCTTGTGGCACTTCTGTTACTCTTAAACACTAACCTCTGCATTTTCGTGTAATATTTCAGACATAGATATGAACCAGTGATCCTGATTTATTCCCATTTCACCTTCTGTTAAGATGATTTTGAGTTGCTGTGTGTTGATATCTTATTTTTGTCACTTTGTGAAACTATGAATATCTGAATGTTGATCTTATCTTATTCCAGAGGTTGTTCAGTGAAATTTTATTTGGTAAATTCAACGTAGAATGTAAAAATATGACAAGAGACTGGAATGTCACCTTCTTCTTGTCAACATTTTCAGAACGTATTTCTTACAGGGGTCTAACTGTGAGACACTAACAATAATTCAATGACATACTCACATCTTATTAATACTAATAGGACTTATAAGTCATGGCATGCTGCTATTTGAGGGTGACTGTGACAAATGTGTAAGCAAGTTTTTGTAGACATTCAGTCAAAATGATCTTGAAATAATTGGGTTGTAAGAAAAGAAGTGACAAGGGAAAATGGAAAAAATTATTCTGGAATAATGGCTAAGAATTTAAGTCCACCCTTTTTGTGGGGTAGCTGTTAGATGTTTAGCCGCTTTGTTCCCACATTTCTACTCTACTGACTAGAGTTGTGACCAGGAAGTCCTAGGGATCTGCGAGACAACGGTTATAAGTTTGTGGTACAGAGCCACCCTTTGGCCTGTTTTCACAATAGGTAGTCAAATGGTGAGCTCTTTGAAGGTTCTGTTCTAATTAAACTCAAACGTACTTCAAAGAAAATCAAACTTGCAAAGTGCTCTAACACTGAGATGTTTCTAGTTTGAATTCTCTAAGTCATTACAAGATATGGCAGTTTAATTTTATAATGAGTGATGAATACTTAAGATATCTTTTAGAGAAGCTAAAATGATCTGTTTATAATATAATTGCTTTTTCCTCTCTTTTATCAGAAAGTCTAGCTCAGATTCAAGCTCTGAAGTTAATACGGGATTAAATTAAAGACTTACTAATGTATTTTTTACCTGGATATTTCTTTTCATACACACATTTTGCCTGCTTATCCTACCTGATTATCTTTACTGTTGTTTTTATGAATTTTTCTCTCAGTTTCTTGGGTTCCATATGCCTGTTTGATATATCCATCTCTTTCTTTTGTGATGTACACAGAGCCCAACTAAATTACAGTTTTCTGACAACTATGGTGGAAAACCAGGTTTGTGTCCCACCACGAGTTGCAGATGCTAGCCAGGCACAAAAAATTTTTGCTATTTGCTAGGGCAGCAGTGAAGGGCACGCCACCCACTGCCTCCTGCAGCCCCATGAAATCTTGGCTGGGATAACCAGATTCCAGCAGCAGAGAAAGCAGAGGGCAATGTCACCTATTCCTCCTGCTGCCTTGGCTGTCAACCGAGTATGATTTGACATTTTGGGTACTTGATGTGGCAGTAATCACCATAAAAAACGCACTCCCCAGTTAATATGTTTTCTAGGCATGAATCTAATGTCGACTATCAACTGCTAAGTCTTTAACAAGTTAGAATGGAAACCTTTTGTTTCCAGATGTGATTTTTTTTTACTTTGTCTGGAGAATATTTTATTTGGAATTTCAGGTCAATTTTGTCACCCTTTTAGGGTCTCTGAAATATAACAAACATTTCAATAATTACATTAACTTAACTTAACAATTATGTGGCTAATTTTTAATGATTAAACTACTGTACCCAGATTGTATTAATCCAAATTAAAGTTATTTGACAGCAGAATTAATTAAAAGGGATTTTCCAGTTTATAAAATTAAATTCACATAAACGAAATGTAAATAATTTCTTCCTGATAACCTTTAATAATTTCCTTATTTTTTTCTGTAAATAATTGTTCTCCTTTATAATGAATATTAAGAATTTCTCCTGCAGACCTTTTGTCACAGCTGATTGCATTCATATTTACATTTTTATTGGTTTATATTGTAAATCTTCTTTGCATTGCTTCACTTACAAACACAATTTGATAGCTTATTGCTGCTGATTTTTTTTCAAGCAGTGGTGACCTTAAAATGAAGCTAGAATGAGGAAGCCAGGGAAACATTTTTGCCAGTTCAAATGATAAAATGTGTTTATGTATCTTAACACTGTAAGGAAAAAACCCAGAAAATAGTTTCCTTTTTAGGACCGTTGATTATCACTTAGGGTAATAATTCATCCTGTGCATACTGATCAGGCTAATCTTTAAATATGGCTTTCAGCAGTACTTACACACAGCTGTAGACATTGATAAAACATTGTGAGCTACAGGCATTGACAGTGGTTAATGTTTAATTTAGCTGTTGGTAAACTTTCATTATGCTTTTCTCCTGCAAGCATCTTCTTTTGCTGAGCTTGTCTAAATTCAGGATCTCTCTGAATACTGAACTCAAGAACAGAATTTACTCATTATAGGATTAGGACTATAAGCATATTCATGTATTCTGCCTATAACTTTCTCCTCCTATTAGGTAGGTTTTATCTCACCATTGGAAAAAGACTGAAAGCAGTGATGTGGTTGATACTAGCGTATTTATTACTTCCATTTCCTTAGAAGCTCAAAGACATTAAAATATAGACCTGTTTCAAAGCAGGGTTGGTGATAACAGCCAAGCAGGTGGTTAGGAAGACTCTGAAAGGGCCAGAATAATGCAAGTTTGTTTTTGCAAAGCTTGACCAACCAACATGCATAGTGGCACTGCTGTCCGATTAGCTTTAATCTAGGCTTCACTTTCTGTAGGCATTGCAGAAGAAATATGCTAAGGACAGACGTGGAAGAAAAGCAAGTAGAAGTTTTTTTGATTTTTGAGGACTGGGCTGTGATAAATAGTAAGATTTATGTAGGCTATAATAATGCCAAGCATGTCACACAGCTGTAATGTAGAATTTTCTGGTTTACATGGACTAAAATTCCAGCTGCATCACATGAGGAATGACTCCTTTGTTCTCATCTATAACGAGACACATTAGCATTACACACTTTTTACATTTGAAGTCCTCATGAATAGTTTGGCATACACAGGGCCTTTGGACTCCTGTTTATTCACAGTGCACAGACAGGAGTTACTATAGGGAACAAGTAATTTCATGGAAGAGAGGAAAGGGAAACTGCCTTGCTTTGTTCTAACTATCCACTCAGTATGTGTATGCCCAGATAAATTGAAAAGAAGACAACTTTATTTGAATAACTTTATGCAAGTATATATTGAAAATGCTGGGGTTTTTTTCCCCATACAAAAAGTATCCTCCTTAGGACCTTCCTCTATAAATGCTACCAACATGCCAGATTCCCATTGTCATCTGTCCCTATCCACCTCTGTGTCACTCAAGGATTATGTCACTCATCATTAATATAATTCTTTTATTCCACTGGTGTTTGTGGTAGTCAAAATTCTATGAAGCATGCGGGCAGTCCGTCCCAACCCTATGGAGCTCATAGTTCATAATATCATAACTCTGTATCTAACATATCATAACTCTTTCTACATTTCTACTGTACTCTTTATTTAGTATTTAAATTATATAACTAAATATTAGTAGATTAGTTCTTTTAGATCCTGTTGTGACAAATAATATGTAGGACATTAAGACATTATTCTTTCAATAATTGTCTCTGAAATACTTAAGATGCTTCTTTATGAAATTCTGCCTCGCTTTATTATACTGTGCTGAGGACTGTCCTCTCAC